CTTTCCATTATAGCGCATACTGTGAAATTGAAAAGGAAGCAAGTACTTACAAATGGTGCCCATTTCAAAAGCGCTCTCCGACGAAACATCTGGGCGCTGCACAATATAAACCACACCTCATAATTTAAAGAAAAATAAACAAGAACTGTTTAACCACAAGTGAAGGTACTTGCCAATGCCACCTCTGGTATCAAAGACTTACATCAACACGGGACTGACAAAATGTAACACAATTAAGAATAAAATTTTTAGCTGTATTTACAGCTGTGTAGGAGAGCTTCAACTTGTCCAGCGGAAGGGAGAATCCCACAATCTCTTCAAGGTTTTGAAGAATTTCAAATTCTGTTGGACCTGAAATGTGTTTTATCACAATGGGAAAAATAATAGATATACCCACAAAGTGAATCAATTGTAAAATACACACAAAGCCAATAATTTGACCACTCATGTACCTGACATAGAGCTGACATGAATATTCTGCTTTGAAATAGCAGACTCCTGACCACTCTTCTTCTTAACAGAAATTCTATCACCATGAAAAGACTCTGGGCCAAAGCACTTCAGGGCTTGATTGGCTTCTGGAAGTGAACCAATCTTGTAGGCAATCAGACCAATGGATGCAAGCAACTGCTCTGTATTGCGCATCTCCATATGTAGTGCACACAACTGAATGCTAGTAAGCTCTTCATCAAAGAGAAAAAGGAGATCATCCCGGATTCCAGTTGATCTGCAAATTATGGACAACAATGATGCAGTTACAATAATTATATTGTAAATGGGTACTCCAAGAGGAGCAGGGATGACGTAGGGGTGAGAGCAATCCCCTCCCACCACTGTGGCCCGGGTTCAATTCCCGAACCTGGCATCACGTGTGGGTTGAGTTTGTTGGTTCTCGTCCTTGCTCCGCAGGTTTTTCTCCGGGTCCTCTGGTTGTCCTCCCTCCGCAAAAAACCAACGTTCCAAGTTGTGTCCCCAATTAGCTTCAAGCTAAATACCGCTGACACAATAAAGTTTACTATTATTATTATTATTATTATTTATAAATAAAAAATAAATAGTCTCATGAATATCATGGCAATAAATAAATGGTGGAAGGTAGCTGCTCTTACCAATGCATCAACTTTGGTACCCAAAAGGCCTCAAGCACTTCCTACATAAGCCTGTGCATTATATAATGATCATGAAAGGTTAAACGTAAAGTATACCTGCCTATGGTACACTTGCTTCGTAGGCATTCTAGGCAGGTTTCATCTGGAGCCACATCATGACATTTGCAACCCTAATGGGAAATGAAATTGCCTCAAAATAAATGAATATTATCTTACAAAATTTTGTGGTTGCATTATTAGAGAAGACTGTAGCTTGTATATTGTAACTGATGAACTACAACTAAAAAATGCTCATTGATCCACATGTACACCAACACAAATACTAACCCTGATTGCATTGCATATAAAGCAGAATTCTACATCTACCCCTCGACCACCAAGTTGAAAATCAAGATCCCCTTTCTTTACCAAAAGAAGGATCAGTGTTTTGTAGTCCAATAAAACTAAGATATGACAAAAAAAAAAACAGCAATAAAGAATTATGATATGACATACATGTAGAAAATTAACTTATTGTTTAAAATAATGGTCACTGATAATGAAAAAAAAAACCCTCAATTACGTTTCTAAAAAGAAAGTCAGCATCCTCCCTTTTAAAAGATTAAGGTTAATGTTCTTGCAAAATAACCTTTATGTAACAAAATGATAGAAACATCTTACCATCAAATTCTACATTGAACTTCATGCCATCAACAAAAATTCCTTGGTTCTTGATGATTCTCTTTTGTTCATTTAGTTCCTTTAAAAGTACCTTCAGGCTTTCCCTATCAAAATAACATTAGGCATGAAGACAACCGATGAAACTTGTTGTTTATTCAGAGCTTATGTTGGGGTAATGTTCTTATAATGCAAAAGGATTTGCAGTTTTTTTCCTCTTTCTGTTTAATTCATAATGTGTGGGTATTTAACAGAGTGTGTGTGTGTGTGTGTG